GAGATGTTTGAGGCATGGAATAGAGAGGAAAGGACGGTAGCTGTACTGGGGCATAGGAGGTGGGTTGAAAAGGCGGGAAGGGATATCGTTAGGATAGACAGACTAGGGAAGACATTTTTGAGCCACCTTCGGCAAAGTAGAAAGGAACGATTGGCCATCGGTGATCGGTCCTGTGGGAACAATGGTCCGTCCTCTCGAGGACGCGTGGTCAATGGTCTAACCGCTAAGGCATGCAAAACACAAGAGTACGCCCCCCCCCGCCAACATCCCGCTTTCGTGGTCTTACATACCCCCCCCATACTACAGTAGGGCTACACCCCCTGTTCCCTCGTTTTTTGTTCGGTGGTTCTCCAGCTGCCAGCGAACCAGCAGGGCACAAGTCAGTTCTCGTCACCTAGCGCACCAATCGTCATGACACCACTTCGAGCGTGTGCTCCATTGCTGGTAGTTGCACGCGGCGGTAAAAAAAAACATGCACGACAGAGCAATACGTAGCCTCATCACACCACAGAGAGTCCAGCGGCATCGAGCCCAGATGCTGTCGCCCGCTGTGCGTGTGTGTCGCCTGTTACGCGTACGCTGTTTGCTGTGCGTTTGTTGTCTGTTGTGCTGTTACGCGTACGCTGTTTGCTGTGCGTTTGTTGTCTGTTGTGTGGTATCGCCCGCAGTGCGTATGTTCTCTGCTGCAATCCGCTGAAAGTATGCTCCGAAAAAAAAAAAGTGCATCTGATGACCCCTGCAGTCTAAAATCAAGTCATGTACTCTAAAACCTATATTTTTCTGGATGGAGCCTATGTTGCGCTGTCTCCTCAGGCAAGATTAGAAATCTCGCTTCGCTCGAATAAAAAACTGGTGAGTTTTGCTTTCTTGCCAGAGGATGCTTGCGGAACTGTTCTGTCTTACACTTGAAAAGGGCTGTGATCGCCAAGTCTTCCGCAAAAGGACCGCTGTACGTAGAACCGTGCTCCAATTTCTGACAACGGCCTGGAGCCCAAATTTACAAGAGTTTTCAACATCTACACGCTGAAAAAATGGATGCCGTCCATTCAATCGACTTGTCGAAGGACCTGAACGAATGTACTTTGTGCGAGGACGGATGCGGCCGAAGGCCTAATTCATCTGCTCGCCCCACACGGCATATACCCAACCATTGACAACATGATGTTGCCCGCGCCAAGATGACAAGCTACAGTACACGCACTTATCGTACTTATTTATTCTCGCGGCACAACTTCGACCCCCCTCGGAAGCTACAATCAGAGCAGGGTCGGCAACGACTCTTGAAGTGTATGTGAACAAAAAACTCTACATGGCAAAAACAACAAATCAATTCACCACCACCGCGCACACACGACACACCGCCGCCGCACCTGGCGTCCTGATTCGGCGGCGCTTGCAAATCGCTCGTGGTTGACCGAGCTGGGGTGCATGAAAACCGGCTCCGAGTCGTCGCGGGTGACGAAGTGACCCTTCTTGATCTGGCAGTAAAACGTAGGTTGGCGTGACCGTGGGCATTTCCGTCAGTTGCCAAGAGAGGAACAGTCATCCCGCTTACGCTTGCGGAGACATCGATGAACGTCATCACACAGGACAGGCGAGGCGTTTTTTGTTCCCGAGACGAAGTCAACCGGTGACATGATTCTGATCGGCAAGGCTTGCTTCAAGCAGGGCCAGCTCCATTAATGCCCCATACTAGACTCACTATCCGTACCTCTAGATAGTCCACGCCGTGCCCGACAGACGACCGCGCGCAACATCAACCTCACGCTTTTGCTTAGCCTCTGAGAAAGCTGTCCACGCAACCGCCCCGACACCTGTTCGCTCTGTGGCATCATGTGTACACCGCACCGCACCGCACCGCACCGCACCGCACCACACCACACCAATCACACTTCAAAATCTTGATCAAGGTGCGCGCGTTTCACCACCTCTCACCTGCCGTGGTGTCCTGCTATGCCGGTCTGGTCGGACGAACGCGGCCACGTGAGGGTACAGACCGGCGACGAGGACGCTCTGAACCAACGCCGTGTTCCCCGAGTTCAGGTCCGGGTCTTGCAGCCCGGGGCCGCTCCCGCGGCCGCCGCCGTCACCTCCCCCTTCCCATGCCGTCCCCACCGGGACCTCTCCTCCACCTCCGTGCCTCCATCGGCCGCTGCCGCTGCCGTTGCCGCGGCCGCCGGCAGCCGCCGCCGCCGCGTCCCGCCCTGCCGCCCGGCTGCTCGGCACCGCGGACGAAGCGAACCCGACCTCGGCAAGCTGCTGCCGGAACTGCTCGCGCAGGTTATCAAGCCTCTCCAGGGTCGGCTGCGAGAGGAACTTCTCGCGGCACCACCTGCGCACTTCGTTGTAGGAGCTGGTGCGGCGCTGCCGTGAAAAGAGCGCCCGTGAGCGGAGGGGGCGGAGGGTCGGGGACTCGAATGGAGCATGATTGGTGCCGTGTGCGTAGCAGCTACACGTGGCTCTGTAGGACAAGCCTGGCGGTGGCGAGCGAGCGGCGTAACCTCCTCGGTTCCATTTTTTTTTTCCGCTCGACCTCGGACAAACGCCGAGATTATCCTACCCTTAATGCAACCTACCAGCTGTAGGAGCGTGCAAATGGTGTGCTGGGGAATCCGTGCTGTAGGTCGAGAATGAAGGCCTAGATCATGGGCTGGTGGTAGATACGCGTGGCGGATGCAGGTGACTCCCAGTTGAAGCCTCCCTTGATGTTGGATTCCGCTGCGTCTGTTCGCTGAGCGCCGTGCCACCAATCCCCACCGCAGTCATCCTCCCGCCCCCTTGGCAGTTAATCACCACAACGCTGATCTTGCACGCATCGCCGTTCCGTGCGACACCGTGCAGAACAAGTGCAACACAAAAACCAGCTGCTACGCAAGCAGCAACGATAACAAAACCACAAAACACACCAGCACCAACAAGCGGCGGTACAAAATACCTTGTTTCTCCAGGCACCGAACGCTTCCACGATGGCGAGGTGGTCACTCTTGCCTTGCGCGAACCCCTGCCGCGCCTTGTCCGCCCTAGCCTGCTCTCCGAACGGTCGCTGGAAGGGTGCCTTATCGCTCTGCCGTACGATTTTTCGCCGGACACATCGGGTTGTCGTGTGTCGGTTGGGTAAGAGAAGATCGTGTCGATTAACGAGCGGGCGAGTTGGCCCGTCGCAGCCATGGCCCCAGGAGGGGGGATTCACGCACCGGAACTTAATACACAAACCCTTTCAACCGTCGGGAAACGAAAGCCTGGTTAACGAGAGTAGTCGTACCGTAGACACCAAGTGACGCTGAAAGTATGTCGTGAATTTTGTGGCAGGAACTTTAGAACGCGGCAAACTTACATGAAAAGAGAAGAACACAAAGTCGGGCCGAAAACGAGGCAGACAAGCGATAAGTTGGCAGAGCACACACCGTGACGCGTGCTCGCAGCTGTTCTATTCCATTGAAGTGGGTGTTCGAGACATCAGCCCGCGTTGTCTCAGGGGCTCAGGTCCGCGCACACACACACGAGAACACCCCAACCCCGAATAAAACCAACACAATGCACCGCATTCCTCACGACAGAAACCAGAGTTACAATCTCAGTGCCGCACTTACCAGCGCAGCCGCAATGGTAAGGATTGGGTCCAGGCACTGTAGGATTGCCGCAATGAGCAGAAGCTTGCCCACGCACGCATCCATGGGGAGGTGGGCCAGGTGGTACCCGAGCGGGGTGAGGATAGGCGTACTGTTGGAGATGATAACGGCCTGCGAGAGGGGGCGGAGAGCAGAGATAGAAAAAGACCGAGGTTGTGGATACTCAGAACAACTGGTAGATCAAAGACATGCGGCATCCAACGCGGAGTGTGAGGTACAACGTTGCCGGCGGAGAGGGCCCGCGCGAGTTTGAAGGTGCACCCTTTGGAGTGGATTCAGCAGCAGCGTCAGGGGCAGAGAACAAGAAATGACGGTACGCCATGCAACCAACAGCAATATTGCCCCACCTGAAGGTCGTCGAGGTTGCGCAACGCCGCGCGCAACATCTTCGGCGGAGGCGGTTCGACCGCCCTGTCCAAGAACTCGGCCGGAGAGCCAAGCTCCAGCAGAAGCACCTACATGGACAGCGGCGTCGTGCAAAGA